CCAGAAGTTACAAACGGGAAAGACTGGCAGAGAGAATAACCAGGTAAAGGACCTGCAATAGGCCCCAGGCTAACTTGTTCCAGGAGCAGAGAAAATACAACAGGCTAGGACACAACACACAGAGGCAAGTGCTACAAGGTACTTTGAATACATGAAGCTTTTGATGCCCAGGAGGAAGTGTTAAACTGGCAAGTGTTTCTCAAATTTTAACAAGCATATGAGTCCTGTAAAGATCTTGTTAAAAATGCAGATGATGGGACTTCCCCAGAAGTCCAGTGGTTGAGTTGCCATGCTTCTGCTTCAGGGGTTGCATATTTGATCTCTGGTCAGGCAACTAAGATCCCACATGCCTCATAACCAAAAAAAAAAATAAAAAAAATAAGAGAGAGAGAGAGAAAAAGAAAGGAAAGTTCATGAAATGAATAAAAATGAAAATACACATCAAGTTAAAAAATGTTAAGGCAGATAGTGATGCAGTTGGTCTGCAGTGGAGCCCCACAGTCTGCATTTCCCAAAAAAACCCAGGCGATGACAACCCTGCTGGCCATGGAAGGCATTTGGGCAAGGACAGGAGCTGTGACCAGTTCTGCATTTGTAAGTCTCCAGTTAAACACAACAGAGAGAAGGAACAGACCAAACAATGAAAGATGTGTTAGGACCTGGGATCAAGGATATAGTAGGTGCCAGAAGAGAGCAGGACCCCAGAAATCAAGAAGCGCTTCAAAGAGGGGGAAGCGCGTGGAACGCAGAGCTGTAAAGGTAGAGGACCAAGAAGCGGCCTGAGACTCAGCACACAAGCGCCCCTGGAAACTGTTATAAAGTAAGCTGACTTCTTCAGCTATACCTGAAGTATAGCTGATTTACAATATTGAAGTTTCCAGTGTACAGCAAACTGATTCAGTTTTATGTATATATCTATATTCTTTTTATTCTAGTCTTTCCCCTTATAGGTTACTACCAGACGCTGAACAGTGACCTTTAATGGGAAAGAACACTGTATAGTTCCCTGGACTATGCAGTAAATCGTTGCTGTTTATTTCATAAATGGGAGTGCACATCTGCAAATCCCAAACTCTTAGTTTATCCCTCCCCCCACCCCAATTTCCCCTCTGGGAACCACAGGTTTGTTCTCTGTGTCTGTGTCTGTTTTGTAAATAAATTCATCTGTACCATTTTTTTTTTTTTAGAGTATGTGAACCTCTAATACCGCTTTGGGTGGGTTTCACAGATTACCATTCTTCTCAAGCCTTTCCTCCACCCTCACTTGTAATGCTCACAGACCTCACTTCCTACTTTCCTGAAAAAAAAGAAAAAAATGTAGAGACCAATTAGCATGATGGACAACTTTCCCCTTAAAACCTACTCTTCGCACATTCGAAGCTTTTGCTATTTCCATCCTTTCCTCCTGTCTCAGAGAACTTGGATATGGCTCCTTCTTCAGAGGTGTTAGGTCTTCTGCCTTCCATTCTCCTACCCTTTCTCACCAGGACACTGCTACTATGGGGTCATCTTCTGAACCACTGCACAGACCCACTCTAGGTCACCCATGACCTTGGCTGGTCTATCCTCACGGTCTACTCCTCATGTAAGTAAGTAAGGAGCTAAGGGATGGGCACATGATGATGTTCTGCCCAGTGAAACAGGAGAGAAAGTTTGGGGTGGGATGGGGGAAATGCCCTTCATTGATTAAAAACAGGCATTCCAGAAGCAAAAGCCCTCAGCAGAGGCGGAGTCCTATGGGGATGGTGTGACTCAGAAATGCTACTACTACTTTGCAACTCAGAGGAGGAGGAGCCTGAACGTGTCAACAGGGAAATGGGCAGAAACTCTTATCCTGCAACATAATTGCGTCTCCAAGCTAAATGATGGTGGAAAAGCAGTAATTCTGGGATATTTGAGACTAAGCCTGCGGAGTTCAAGTCTTCTACTGTGGTTCTTGTTTTTCAGTTGCTAGGTCATGTCCAACTCTTTGTGACTCCATGGACTGCAGCGTGCCAGGCTTCCCCGTTCTTCACTATCTCCCAGAGTTTGGTCAAACTCACATCCATTGTGTTGATGATGCCACCCAACGATCTCATCCTCTGTCAGTCCCTTCTCCTGCCCTCAATCTTTCCCATTACCGGGGTCTTTTCCAATAAGTTGATTTTGTATTGTCTGCAGTTCAAAGCAGCCTAGTTGATGCTTCTACCAGAGCAGGAGGTGACTGCCGCTGGAGCTGCCCAAAGGCAGGGTGCGAGTAGTTTCTCAACCCTCTCTTTCCCTCCCTCTCTTCTCACCCTCCTCCCGCACTCCATTCTGTACCCCTCCTCTCTCCCTTCCTCCCTAGCTTACCCATTCTTCCCTAGCTCTATACCTCCAAAACTATCCTTTTAACTCTTAGACCTGCCCCACACAAGCATAAAACCTCTATCTTCTGGTCCAAAAAGCACTTTGCAGATGATTATGAGTATTCACGGCAGTTTTTCACATGCCTACTTAATGTAGATTTCTGGAGGGGTCCCAGCTTTATTTTATCTCTCCTTTACGGCTATGATAGGGATATTGGTGGCTTATGTATTCAATGCTAAGTATCCTGTTACATGTCTAAAGTTCATGCACACATATATAAATGAATAGCCATAGAAGTGCAGCTAAAGGGGTATTTATTAACTGTTATAGTGATCAGAAGAAACAGTATAAAAGGGCATTCTCAATTTTCTCAGCAAGTTTCCTTTTCTTTGCTTTATGAATTTCATGAATCCAGAATTTAGAAAATGTCTACTTTTTACAGTAGTCTTAAAGGGCAGATGTCATAAAAGGTTACTTCTAAATGTACTTCATAATTGCTTTGCCGTTCCTAAGCCTTTCCGCAGGGCTAACCCTGGTGTGGGTTTATGTATGGGTAGGTTGTTTGGGTAGGTCCTTCAGTGATTCCAAACTTTCCTAGTTGGTGGAAATATAGCTTTGGGGGGGATTCTGCCTCTGGAATTCAGGCCGTTTTATTTGATTATGTGATCCCCACCCCCTCAAAACCAGAAGAAACTCTCCTTAAATTAAGAGAAGGGTTTAGATGGTTTTGGTGAAGAAAGGATAACAAACACCTAAAGCACAAACTTCTCCTGTGGTGTTGCAATTAGGAAGCTCTGAGGTGCTCCAGGACATGAATAGGTGGACCGCTGTATATGCGGTGCATGTGTGTGCTAGGCTGCACCTGGGGTTCTGACGACTCGCTCTGCCTTTTGAAGAGTCTGAGTGGTTTTCATTTCTAAACTGCCAAGTTTTGCCCTTCACTGTTTCTATAAGCAGTCTGCATAAACTGATGCTTTTCCCAAATATCACAAAACTAAGAACTCCACAGTTGCATAAGAGAGAGGAAAAGTCAGTCTCCTCAGAAGATGGGAAGGGAGGTATCCCGCTGTGCACCAGAGGTGCACATTCCTGCCCCCACGCCCAGCACCAAGCTCTTCCTGGAGAAAGACAATGTAACAGATCCATAAAGAGATGCAATTCTGTTTGCTCTCTGCACTTCCCATGTGCCAGCACTAACCCAAATGCAAAGGGTCACTCAGCTCTGATGACAAGCTCCTGCTATATCACCCATCACAACCTAAGCCATGGAAACTTAGTTTCTGTCAATTTCCAGTAAGTTCCCTTTGCAATCCTTTTATTGTAATTATGTATCCTTAAAGTTAACACAGTAGTAATCAGCAATTCTTATTTTCTTGAATTTCTTTTTATTCCTGTGGTTTTGATGAATATTTAATAGAAAGCCCACAATGCTCACTTTCATATCTCAAGTTCTATTCAAATGTATTCAAAGATCAGATCACCCAGTATCATTGGAAAGTCTACATAAATATTAATAAAAACACTGACAATTTAGATCCACATGGAATAATACTGCCCCCATATGATTTGCATAGGTAATAGAAGTAAATTTTTCTTAACACAGCCCTCCTGTGCCTCTTCTCAACTTGGATATATATTTGCTATTCCTGGCAATGTTATTACAAAAGATAAAATTTCAGCCACTTCAACATTAAAAATAACCATAAAATGTCAATCCTCCCAAACAGATGTGATTTAATCAAACTACCCTGAATCAATGGAAAAGGTCTGTGTTCACAAATTAATAACTGCATTAATATTCTTAGCATCATGGTGACATTCCTTGGACAACTTCGAAGTGAGCTGAAAATGATAAAAGTGGATTATGGTACACGTATCTCTGTATTCTCATCACTGCAACTTAGACATTGGGGTGAAAGTTGTACCTTTTGTTTCTCAATAGCTGAGCAACACTCTGCTGGTTTTAACTACAACTGATGAAAGGGAAAGCATGGCAAACTGGATGCATGTGACAAGCACAGGAGGTAATATGTTTCCAGGATGTGGCATCTGGCCATTGACCACAGCCTCTTGGAACAAGATAAAGTCACTGAAATAGTTAACAGATGTTAGCATACTTGAAATATAAAAGTTCTATTGCTAAAAATTATGTGGGGTCAGATGGAGATTTGGCGCTTGGTCCATAATTTAACTGACTTGGCAAATGCAAAGTTGAGATCCAGAGGCATATAATGCATAATACGGAGGCCACACACTTTGCACAGCACACGGGGGCTCATAAACTACTGACGAAATGTACGCTGTGCTAAGCCAGCTTGATTAAGTATTAACACAGTATTTGATACTTAGGGAAATCTGAAGTCAATTTGCACGTCGACTAAATTAAAAAGTTATTTCTGTAAGAGCAGAAGAGTAGACTTTTCTACAAGTTCAAAGGACGTCTGCAAATTTTATTATTTATCCTTGGTTTGCAATTTACCTGATGACTGGTATATCTTCCCGTCCACTTCATAATCCATCCAGTGATACCCTTTTTCAAAGTATCTCTCTTTTTCACCCCCACTTTTGTCTTATTACTCCACATTTCAGAACGAGCTGACAGTAATGATTTTCAGATGCATATCTGTAGCTGAAATGGAGCTTCTCAAACTTAAGTCACAAAGTTATTCAAGTCAAGCATTGAATGAGGCTTGTGCTACTTTAGAGTTTGTAGTTTTATTCACAGCTTTGCAGATGAAGTCACCAGCTTCCATCACTTTGTAAAGATTCACACCCTGGTGAGACAAAAATGACAGTGCCAGGTTGGGGGGGGGTGGGTAGGAAGAAAGAAGACAGAACAGATTTCTTTTAATTATATTAGTAGTTACTTAACCATTTAAAATTATCAAACAAATGTTCATTATTGATTGGGGGACAACATTTGTCTCCATAAATTATGTAGATTTAAAATTTTTCTGCTTTATTAAAACATATCTTGAATCTGACCCTAGGCTAACCACACCTGAATAATCCAGTGTAATTATGCTGGTACCTAAACTCTATGAAGGACAACAGTAGAATCAGAAGGAATGAACAAATATCAGTAAAGGGCAACTAAAATGATAATGCTTTGGAGCAGTTTATAGATAAGCATTTGGCAGGGGAATCTCATAGTATATCTTAGTATATAAACAAACAAACCTGATAAAGCTGTAAGAAACATAGGAATGATGAATGTATGTATAATTTTTAACCACATCCAGAAACACTATTGCTGGCATGAAATTGAAGGAGGTAGTTTAATAAAATGAAGTAGTATTTAGTCCACATCTGGAACTTGTTTGCCTGAGAGGTTGTACTGACTGGAAGCATAAATAGGATCAACAAAGGCTTTGGTAAATCCGTGGATGACAGATCGGCAGTTGGGTATGAAGGTCAAGTTCAGCGCAGGCTCCTCATCTTGGGCTTGGCGGAGCCAAGGATCACCACCGAGGTTTCCAGCCCGCACTGAGCTATCACTGGCGGGGACTTGGGGGGCAGAGCGTTAGGCAGATTAACCAGAGATTTGCCCCCACGGAGCATTTTGTAAGCTCCTACGTCTTGCCTCAACATGGACTAGAAACAACATAGACTTAAAACTGAACTGACTCAAGCTCCCTTGCTATTAAGCAGTAGTTTTTAAAATTTATGTAAGTCCGATGTTTTCTGAAAACGAACAAGCATAAATACTCACAGGCGCTTTTCATACCAGCGATCATAAAGTGATCATAACTCTAATACAGCTAGTTACTTCTTTCCAGAAACTTTTACAGCACTGTTTTCTTTGCAGTTTACGTCTGCTTAAGAATCACCAAAAAGTAATTTGTAAAATGACATGTAAATAATTTTCATGTTTCTTTTTATTGTGAAGTTGTTTTTAGGACACTAAGACTTGTTTTTGGTTTTGTAATGGTTTTGGGTAGAAAGTCCTTTAGGCATAGTTTGGTTTCACATTCTTAATACAGTGATATGCAAATTTTGTAAGTAATGAGTTACATATGTCTGTCATTTCTGAATTACATCTAACAAAAGATCAGAAGAAGATTTTAGTCATCAAAGTTCTTTGCTTTTCAGTAATTTCATTTATAGCAATTACGCAGTGGGATTGGTTGGTATCACAGCAAAGAAGAATTTTGTTTTGGCCTTTCTCTAACCAATTTACTTAAAGAACAGATTAGTTCTGTTTGTTTGTTTTTCATCACTAAGTCATGTCCGACTCTTTTGCGATCCCCTGGGCTGTACTCTGTCGGGGTCCTCTGCCCAGGGGTTTCCCAAGCAACAATACTAGCGTGAGTTGCCATTTCCTTCTCTAAGGGATACTCCCAACCCAGGGATCAAAACTGCTTCTCCTGGATTGGCAAGCAGATTCTTTACCACTGAGCCACTCTGGAAGCCCAATGAAAAGATACCCTTATGAAATAATGTGGCATTTATTCTTAAATCATTTCAGCGTTTAAATCAGGTGCTTAAATATGTTAATGTACTATGATACATTATGAAGTTTCAAGAACTTCACACAGAATACAGTTTCTGTCTTTAGGGTGCCTGTGGCCAAGCAGGCAATGTGGAACCCTAAACAGGAAAGCCTGCACTGCAGCTAAAGTCACCGGGAGAGATATCCAGATGATCACAAAGGCAGAGCTGCAGGGTGGTCAACCCACTGAGGAAAAGGAAATGGGAATGAACGGAGAGCAGTGTGTCTGGGAAGAGTTCCAGGAAGGGTAGATCCTGACCCGAGGCTTGTACAGAGAGGATGAGTCTTTGAGAAGAAGGGGGAGGCGTGAGGCACCGTCAGTACAGACATCTGAAACATATCACGGGATGCGTGGAAAGGAACGGGCAGAAGGACTGGAAAAGGGAAAAAAAAGGCCACAGAGTGTGACAGAATACAGCCCTGCTTTTCAGGAAATGGGAATCCACTGATGCATGCCCAAGCAGAAGCAAGGCATATTCATACTTGTATCTTAGATGAAATCTTCCACAGCAGCATGGAGGATGAATCTGAAGGCAGTCTGAAGTCAGCAGACCAGTATGTGCCAAGCTGCTTCAGGCGTGTCTGACTCTTTGTGACCCTATGAACTATAGCCTGCCAGGCTCCTCTGTCCATGGGCTTCTCTAGGCAAGAACACTGGAGTCGGTTGCCGTGTACTTCTCAAGGGGATCGTCCCTACCCAGGGGGTCGAACCCTTATCTCTTATGTCTCCTGCATTGGCAGGCCAGTTCTTCGCCACTAGCACCACCTGGGAAGTCCCACAGACCAGGATAGAGGATGAATATCCACAGAAAATATCAGGACTTGTGCTGATGTAGTTACAGCAAGGGTAGGAAGGAAGGGACAAACAACCAAAACAGTTCAGAAGTCGCATCAGTGACTCTTGCTAATTGCGTAGGCATGGGAGCCAGTGATACAGGTTCCACAGAGAACCTTGGTTTGTTGGTTGCTACCCAACATAACAAATTAAATTGTGAGATTCTTGGAAATGGAAACATGGTTTATTTGCAGTTGGACCCAGACAGCCTGACTCATGTGAAGCATCAACTGAGTTCAACCGAGTTATATAAATCTTCAAGAAAGGATTTCTATGACTTGAGAGTTTAGGATTAGGAGATGAAAACTATTATATACAGAATGGATAAACAAGGTCCTACTTGGAACTATATTCAATATCCTGTGATAAACCATATTGGAAAAGAATATGGTAAAGAATGTGTGTATGTGAATATATATATATATTCATATATATATACATATATGAGCCACTTTGCTGTAGAGTAGAAATTAAGACAGCATTATAAGACAACTATACTTCAACAAAATAAATTAGAAAAAAAGAGGAAATATTTCTACTTTTTTTCAGGTTCTGTCATGGTCATACCTCTCTAATAGAAAGGATGGAAATGATCAGACTACTTAGTAATAGCTACTCCTAACCAGAGAAGAGAGGCAACAGCTTCTGGTATTTAGTTCCAGCTGATATTAGTCTTTCAATGAACAGGATTGAGCGTCTCTAGGCAACAGGCACCTATGAACACATTATAATGCCAACTCTCTGTCTCCAGGGAGAGCTGAATACAGAAAGAAGATGGTACTGCAACCTCCTGGGCGCTTCCGAGAAAGGCACCGAAATGCGGAGGAGAGGGGCCCAGCAGGTGGGCCTGGGCAATCAGCAGGGAAGTAGCAGAAGGTGTGTTTTTGAGGGTGGTTTACCTCGCTCTCAGGTGAAACCAAGGAGGAGGAAGGCCATTCCAGGGGTGGGGAAGGCAGGAGGGAGGGACGGAGCTGAGAAACGGAGAGCGCAGGGAAGGACGGACGCACAGACGAGTCAGCTGGGCAGGAGCGCCTCTCAGAAGAACGAGGGAGGAGCAGAGAGGTGAGACAGAAGGACAACTCCGTTCTCAAATCCAGGTGGTGATTTGCACATCTCAGAAAACATGTGGAATTCCTGACCATCTGTGAACAGTGCTTTTGCCTTTTATGCTTTTCCCTAAAAGATTCTGCCTTAGAGATTAGTAGATCATTTTAATAAGCATGTGTGTTATAGGGCCTGTGACTTTCTCAGATACCACTTGCAAAGAGACTATTCCTGCCGGCCAATGTTTCGCATGCTAAGTATTATTAAACCCTGCTCCTCCACTGGCCATTTTAAAATGGCCCTGGGCTCTCTTCCAGAAGCCCTACTTGTCACTGTGAGAAAACCAAGATCCCAGTTTTCCTCCAAGGATAAGAAAATAGCAAAAACAAATATCATAAAAGCAAAGACAGGCTCTAACTCACAAAGCGTGTGACATCAAATGAGATACTGGATGAAAACGTACTTTGGAAGTCAAGAAGCAGTAAAAAAAAAAAAAAAAAAGTGAAATGGTAGCATTATTGGTGATTGAGCTATAGCAATAAGTTCTTTTATAAAGTCCCCTCAAGAATTTTTATTGTATTTTCCCACTGTGCATTTTAGGAAAGAGCAAAAGTGCAGTAAAACTTGACATCAAAGTTGCTTCCCAAATCTGAGATGCATTCCAATTTCAATCTGCAAGGAATGTATGAATATTAAAATATGCTAAGTTACCTTACCGTATTGACCCCCAGGCCATTAAGCATGTAGATCAGATCCTCCGTGGCTACATTCCCAGAAGCACCTTTTGCATAAGGGCAACCACCTAGTCCGGATACTGCAGAATCCACTACATTAATGCCCATCTGGAAAACAAACCCAAACACCCAAGCTTGTCTCTTTACGGCATGTAAGTTGTTGCATTTCTATTTAACCTGTTCCAAAGAGCAAATAAGGAAAATCTGAACTATGGTCCCACTCTATTCACTTACCCACCTACCACTGGAATAGTCTCCAAGGTGGACTTCTTTTCTGACTAATCTTGTCTTTCAGCCTAACAGAAACTCTTAAAAGATCTCAGGAATGACAATAGTCTTAGATCAAAATTGAAACGGTGTTCTGATTGATAATAGAACAAAGGCAGGGGGTGAAGCTTGAAGTAAGATTAATTCATACCTAGGGTGTATTTTCCAATCTAATTTTGAGCTTTATTCTAACAGCCTTGTATAACCAATATGAAATATTCTCAACAGCCTGACCCAAAAAACAAGATGCCTTAGAAGACAAGTCAGGGGTGTCTCTGTGTTTGAAGCTGTGTTTTGTGGGGTGAGTTCATCCATTCAATTCACCCATTGTTTATTGATCAGCTGCTTTGATTAATTTGCACACAAAACCTGGATGTTTTGGGAGAAGTGAAGAGACATTTAAGAGGTAGGACATCCACCATCAACAGCTGCACCAGTTCACATTTACTGGGTTCTCACTAAGTGCTCAGTTCAGTTCAGTTCAGTCGTTCAGTTGTGTCCGACTCTTTGCGACCCCATGAACCGCAGCATGCCAGGCCTCCCTGTCCATCACCAACTCCCAGAGTACACCCAAACCCATGTCCATTGAGTGGGTGATGCCATCCAGCCATCTCACCCTCTGTCGTCCCCTTCTCCTCCTGCCCCCAATCTCTCCCAGCATCAGGGTCTTTTCCAATGAGTCAGCTCTTCGCATGAGGTGGCCAAAGTATTGGAGTTTCAGCTACAATCAGTCCTTCCAATGAACACCCAGGACTGATCTCCTTTAGGATGGAGTGCTAGATATAGTATTAATACCATATGATGCTAATTCATAATCCCTACAAAACCCCATGAGGTAGATACTCTTCCATCATTCTCAAATCATAGATGAAGAAACTCAAGCACAGAGGGATTGCATAATTTGTCCCAGGTCACCACTGTCTCCAGATAATTCACACTCTGCTCTGGTCTGTAAGCTCTGGAAACATGGAAGTTGGTTCACATTATACATCTGGGGAGATCTGAGGCAGACAGTCTCCATGGTCTGGAAAAGCTGTGAAAGACCTGAGCACAAATGGGTCTGAAAAGGAACCCCTGAGATCAGACTCTAATAACTCAAGCAGAGAGGTGAGCAGAGAAGCCCTCCATGGAATGTGACAGCTGGGTAATCAGGAGCCACCTGAGGTCTAACCTGATTCTTCACTCCTGGACATTGGAGAAAATGGCCATGGCCTCATCTAAAACAAGAAGCACTGGGAAGCAGAGACGTGCTGGGTCAGGGGTTCTGAATCACAGAAGCAGAGCCACAAATTGTTGTTGCAACCTCAGTTTCTGATTCTGGAGGTCTGAGCTAGGCCTTGAAAATTTGAATTTTTAACAAGATTCCAGATGCTGTTCTCACTGATGTTCTGGGGAATTGCACTTTCTTTCTCCTTTTCTTTTTTTTGATAACATTTTTATTTCAGATTTTCAGAAAATTTGGGAAGAAAGTGCAAAGCATTCCCATACATTACATACCATTTCCCCTACTGTTCACATATTACATCATCATAGTACACTTGTCAGAACTAACGAACACATCCGATATTATTAACCAAAGTCCACACAGGATGCAGATCTCCTTAGTTTGGAAGCCATTGTCTTCTTTCTGGCCTGGGAACTCATCCGGTACCACACTGCATTTAGTTATCTTGTCTCGGGACGCTGTGGCTGTGGCGTCCTCTCAGCTTCCACCGTTCTTTGTCCTCATTGCCCTTGACCATTTTGAGTTGTACCTGTCATGTGTTTTGTGTAATACCTTTTGATGTGGGTTTGTCTTATGTTTTCTCATGGTTAGACTGGAGTCCTAAACTTTTGTGAGGAGGGCAACACAGATGAGATGCCATTCTAGACACATCATATCAAAGGTACACCCTACACAGTTATGGTTTATGACTGATGATGTTCACCTTGATCCCATGCCCCATTTTCCATGTGGTACTTTTAAGGGAAAAAAAAAAATCACTATGCGCAGCTCAGATTTAGGAGTGAATAGTATCTACCTAAATTATTTACAAGTCAGTCATATGGGAGGTTTGTCTATTCTGCCATAATCATTTATTTCTTCAAACATTTGTTTACATCAGTAGAGACTCATAGGTATTTATTTAGTGCTTTGCGTTGTGTTCCAATATTCCTTTATATGTCTTGTTACTCATGTTGTTTGAGATTTGGCCACTGGGAGCTCATCAATTGGTTCCATCTCCTTTGACATGCTAAGGGGGCTGCATTCTTTTAATCGAAGTGTAGTTGATTTACAATGTTGTGTTAATTTCTGCTGTACAACAAACTGATTCAGATATACACACACACACACACACACACACACACATATTCTTTTTTATATTCTTTTCCATTATGGTCTAAAGGGCTGCCCATTTTTAATAAATTTTCTAGATTTTTCCCTTGTGAGATCTAGGTTGTTTACCAATGTTCCTAAGAGCAGAACCATATCCAAAAGCCGTGGATGTCTCTGTGACTAATGCAAGTTTACAGGTATAGTTTGTTTGCTTCTGTATGTCTGTTTCCACTTACTATCCTCTGCAACATGGGAAGGTCTATATGGCTCTTCTTCCATTACCACAACCTCTCTCAAAGTTTAATTGTATTCGGGTGTTAATAACTGACCAGCTGAAGTACTGGTCCATTTAGGACAGTCCACATTTGTGGTGCATCAAAATAGTGAGTATAAGGACTTATGCTCCAGGAGTGAAAGCTGAGGAGTGGTCCAGTAGTTGGACAGCACAATGGTAGGACAGTGGCTCATCGCTGCGAATTAAGCAGTACATCAAATAGTCAGAGACATTCTTCACCCACAGGTTAAAATTTATCTGTTCAGTTGAAATGAATCTATCACTCAAGGAGACAGAAGTTTCGGCGATTTTCAGTCTCTACCAATTATATTCACCTGGGGCCCTTTTAAAAATAACACACAAGCTTCTTCTCCCCAGGATCTCTGTCTGGAAGTGAATCAGCTTTGGTATTTCTTTAAAGCTCCCCCCTGGTGATTCTCTTGAGTAATTATGTGTGGGAACTCCTGAGGCAAGGTTCTCATCCATCTCAGCCCTTATCAGCTGTGGGTATGAGTGAGCTTTCATTTTGAAGATGCTCTGTACCGAGGAAGCAGAGTTAACCATGATGGATCAAATTTTCAACAAATCAGGTTTTGAAAGGACACTCCTAAAAGTATGTGAAGTAGTGAATGTAAGTAGTACGCACATGATAGCTGGAAGATAGCTTCAGCCTACCAGGAGAGCTTATGATCTGTAAAATTTTCCATATGTGTATTCAGTTCAGTTGCTCAGTCGTGTCCAACTCTTTGAGACCCCATGAATTGCAGCACGCCAGGCCTCCCTGTCCATCACCAACTCCCAGAGTTTACTCAAACTCATGTCCATCGAGTTGGTGATGTCATCCAACCATCTCATCCTCTCTTGTCCCCTTCTCCTCCTGCCTTCAATCTTTCCCAGAATCAGAGTCTTTTCAAATGAATCAGCTCTTCTCATCAGGTGGCCAAAGTACTGGAGTTTCAGCTTCAGCATCAGTCCTTCCAATGAATATTCAGGACTGATTTCCTTTAGAATGGACTGGTTGGATCTCCTTGCTGTCCACGAGGCTCACAAGAGTCTTCTTCAACACCACAGTTCAAAAGCATCCATTCTTCGGTGCTCAGCTTTCTTTATAGTCCAACTGTCATATCCATCCATGACTACTGGAAAAACCATAGCTTTGACTAGATGGACCTTTGTTGGCAAAGTAATGTCTCTGCTTTTTAATATGCTGTCTAGGTTGGTCATAGCTTTTCTTCCAAGGAGTACGTGTATGTACATTAGACTTCGATAAATAACAATGACAAAAAGGAAGTGTTGTTGGAACTGAAGGTAAACAGGAAAACTTAAACTGGTAGGAAGATGAATGAGAATTTTTTTTCTATTGTGCAATTAACTTATAATTATTCTTATTTACCAATATCTATCATGCTAGACATTCCTGTCAAAATAGTTCTTCCCTGGAATAGTTCACAAATCTTAAGTAAATAATGAGGCAAAAAATAGAAACAAATGGATGTATATGGGCTTCCCTGGTGGCTCAGATGGTAAAGAATCCACCTACAATTTGGGAGCTTTGGGGTTCGATCCCTGGGTTGGGAAGATCCCCTGGTGGAGGGCATGGTAGCCCACTCTAGTATTCTTCCCTGGAGAGCCCCATGGACAGAGGAGACTTGGAGGCTACAGCGGAGCCATGGGGTTGCAAAGAGTCGGACATGACTGAGCGATTAAGTACAGGGTGAGTGTATATGTCTCAGACATGAAACATATCCCCTTACACATAGACTTATTACAGTATATTTTATACAGATAAAAATTAGAAAACCATCCTAATGTCTGTAATTGGGGCTAATTTAAATTAATTAAGGCACAGTTGTAAAATGGAATGATAAATACTTTGTAAATGCATAGTTAAGGGAAAGAAACAGATTGTAAAACATTATAACAGTGTATGCAATCATAATCCCATTTTCTAAAAAAAAAGAATTTGGATGATAATATCAAAATGCTAAGAGTGGTGATCAATGAGTTGCATGTCATTTATTTTATTTTAACTCTTTTTATTTTTGTTTTCAAATGACCCCACAATGAATGTAATTATATATATAAAATTAGAAAAAGAAAGGCTTCTGCAAACTGCAGCCTGTGACAGACTGACAGTAAATAAATCAGAGTGGGAATAAATAAACCTAGGGCTGAATTCCTTGATTAACAACATTATTTTGCAACTAATTGGTCTTTCTAGGATTTGAGACTGCAGGCTAATATGTGTAC